AGAGAGCCATTAAGAAATCTTAAACAGAAAGGCTCTGACTCAAGGAATCCCTGAGCCTCAAGCTCTCGGGGAGCCAGTAGAAGGCTGGAGAGTTGGGAAAGTACTGGTATGTGCTCCCTAAATGCCTGCCGCTGGCTGCTGTCAGTCACAGCATACTGGGCTGAAGGAGCTTTGATCAGATCCAGTATTACTGTCTTTATTCCTCACTAAAGTTTTTAAGGTGTAGCAGGCGTACATATATATAAAATCCAGTTAGTCATCTTCCACGTATTTATGAAGGTGGCATATGAAGCTGTAGGACATCAGCAATTCATCGAACTAAGATTTGTGCTTTTGTAACCGTAAATTGTTTGAGCATCCTTACACCATGGAGTCAGTTGTTCATTTAATAATAAATGTTGACCAGCCTGTGATGGCAGTAGTTATCGTATTCGTAAACATTTGATTGAGCTGAGTTAGCTATATGCCGTAGTTTCACATGGACTAGCATGGAAGTTGAGAGAGAAAAATCAAAGGTTTTTTTGCTGTAGCTTGGATTTAGGAATACATTTAAGTGTTCAGGTACTATAGCTTGCAACTAAATATCACAATGTATATTAGCTAAAACTGCTTGCTTTCTGACACTGTTTCTTGATTAAATGGAGCACATATGACTCAGACCTATTAGACCATCACATAGCTGGTAAAGATGTACTCTAATGAATGTGGTATGAATGATGAAGTGTAATAAATGTTAATGGTGAAGAATTCTGTGTTAGAACTTGTCACTTGGATATGAATTATAGCTACTATAATAGATATATAGGTAGTATAAAGCACACAACTAGTGATTTATAGTATTGGTTTGAAAGAGAAACTATTTTTTTCTTTAATTTTTTCATATTTGAAAATCAGGTAAGTGTAAATTTGTCTCATTATTCTGATAGTCCAACATGTAAAGCTTGCTTTGTTTAATGGAGAGGTGGGGGAAAAAACGCAAACAGAACAGGATTGGTAAAATATGTCAGATAAACTTTAATATCTGTTTGTATAGCTTGCTGTGATCCTTTCCTGAGCTGATTTTGTCTGTTGACTGTTAATGGAAAATGCAGTTCAGAAGTATAACTTTACATGTGATATTTGTGAAAGGCTGCAGATTAATGTGCTTTGAGATGAAGCCATCTAGGCAGGGATCAACAGTTACTTTATTTGAAGGTCTGATGTGTCTGCTAGGCTCTGGACCAGAGGTTGAGAATTTGCTACAGGTCTGATAGAATTCTGCATTTAATACATAGGCTGCCAGGATTACATCTCTGGAGCTATCCAAGAGAAATAGTATGTATTTAAAAAAATATATATGTTCTGCTCTTTTGGTTAGAGCCATAATTTACCTGCTCAAAGCACTGATGGGTGCAGTGTTTAACCTGTGTCTTCTGATTTTCAGCAGTTGAAACCATAGACGGCTTCATAGATGCTCAGACTTTGTTAGTGAGCTTCTCTGGGTTTTTTCGATATTTAAAATCTTCCCCAGATCAGTATGTGTTTTGGTGTTCACTGTTAATCTGTAGCTGGAGATACAACAAAGGCGAAGGAGTCATCACATGTCAGCTAAGCAGGATTGTTTTAAGGCTTCATAGTATATTCGGTTTCTGGCATCCCATATGAGACAAACTATGCTGTCAGTTGAAATAGTGGGGTTTTTGGTTTTTTTTTTCTTTGTGACTGCCTTTTTTAACTAGCTACTTCTGTAAAGCTGCTGTTAGATGGTAATAGTATTTTAGGGCCTGACTAATACACTGTGGTTTAATGAACTGTAGGTGGCATTGAGTAAACCAGCCCTAAGTCTGCCTGAACCTGAAAGTAAGACACAGTTCATAGAATCCGAAAACTCTGTAGAAGAAACAAAAGTGAACCTCACATTTGCTGAAGAAATTTACTGTAAATAAAGAGTCCGTCTATAGACTATTATAACGTCTTTAACATCTATTTAAAGTGACCTACTTTTCTTTTAAAACCCTCCTAATTCAGCTGGTAACTGGTAAAATGATTTATTCCAACAATAATCCTCAAATGTTGTGTAGACAATGCTGAAATGTCTCATTTTGAGCCCATTTAAGACCTGTTAACATGTTTCAGACTAGAGTAACCTGTTAAATAAATACATCAGGAAAAAGCTTTTACTGGTAATGGTTGTTTTGCTTAGGTGACTATGGCTGTAATGTATTGTGAGTACATCTGGTACTTCAGTGCTTATTTATCAGTGATCTTTTTTCCTTTAGGCGGTTTCCTAGAAACATGATTGCTTGCTGGTCTTGATCTCACAGCTTTGTGAAGACTTCTTCTCTGATAATGTCAAGTTCAGGCTACCCTCCTAACCAAGGAGCATTCAGCACAGAACAGAGTCGTTATCCTACTCACTCTGTCCAGTACACCTTCCCTAGCACCCGACACCAGCAGGTAAGGAGACATCGACCTTACAAATATAGAGAGAGTATAATTCAGGTGTTTGCTGTGCCAAATGGGATTTTTTTTTCTTTTTCTTTAAACCAATGTAATACAAGTCGTTCACATCTGAGAACAGTGGAGTTGCAGAACAATATGCCCAGTCAAAACTGATGGGGGAAGTCTGTGTAGCAGTGTTGTTTGTGCCTCTGGAGTTTGGCTCTTGCGTTATGGCTGATGGGTCTACTTACTCGAGTATATTGTGTCTTTGAATGAGGGTCTGACTATGGTGTGACTTCTGGGGAGTATAATCTGTAGCCATGTACAGCTCCTTGGTTCCTCCTGAAGTATTACCTTGAGAGGATATAATTACGTGTTGAATTATGCCTTCCTGCAAAGCGGTAGCTGAAATTATTAGAATCCCTGACTTCCATTTACTGCAATTTTGTCTTTTTAAAGTTTTTGCTTGTTTTGGGTTTTTTTTTTTTTTTTACCCCTTCTGTCTTTTTACATAGGCTAGTATTAAAAAATGCTCTAAAACTGTGAAGGTATCCTAAATAAAACCCCACAGCTTGTCAATATTTCCTATTATTTAACATTTGTAAATCTGCTCAAATTGGCAAAACACTTCCTTAGAAATTGACCTGTCTTAAAGATTGTACATTGAGAATCTTGTCTCCTCAGTAGATTGAGTCTTTTTCAGTCTTACTTCCTCTACTTTATTTAATGTTGAAAAATCAAATATAAAAAAATGCGCAAAGTGGCAAAGGAAACGTTTTGCCTGCTGAGAACTGCTGCCAGTGTTGCTTAAGTAAATAGTTGTGGGGTGGTTTGGTTTGTTTTCACCTCCTTTTTTTTTTTTTCCTGAAAGCACTGCATTTTGCTTCTTCAAGATTATATATGTATCTGCTTTTGACTTGTTTTTTGACAGAAAACTGAGTTTTATAATGGGGAATTAATATAAGCTTCCTGTTTCTATCATTGGTTTCTCGTAGTTTGAATAAATTCACTAGAGATTGTGTTCATAAACTTTTGTTGTAGTTTTGCTTTAATTCATTAAAAGTCATCATACTAAATTTGGCCAGCTAAGTGTGTCTGAGTCCATATGCATTGATAGCAGTAATTCTCCAAGACTACGCAAATAACCTGTCTACAGTTAGTATACATTTAATATGAATGCAGTGTTCTGGGTGGAACAAATCCTTTGAGAGACTGGGCTCTTGGGGCATTTGTGGGTACTAAATTTTTATGGGGAGTTAATCTCTTAATAGGCCCAGGAGCGTAGAAAGTAAACCCGTAGTCATCTTTCCTCCTTGTGTGTAAGGAGTATTGAGCTAGATTATCTATAAGCTAAATGTAGTTCTTGGCAAAAATTGGTGTGCAAGGCGGAGAATGTGAATCTGAAATGTAAAAACTTGTGTTACGCTCTGATTTTTTTCTGAAGCAGCTGTACTAGTGCTTCCAGCTAGCTGTGTTCTGCTAGCCAGAATTGGGGTAATGGATTTCTAAGAATCTCCTACTTGGTCATTTCTGCCAAGCATTTATTCTGCCATCCTGTGCTCTGTATGGCGTGGTAGGCTGTGCCGGACTAGCTGTTGGCTTTAGAATAGCTCAGGTTTCCCTTGTTTTAATGAAATTCTCCTCCTGCCACAGATACTTAGATGTTTTGTTTTACTTACATGTTTGCAAAAGGAAATTCAAGAATTGGAGCTTTTTGGCTTGCTCTGTATTTATTTTTAGATAATTTGTAAAAGCTAAGTCTTATGGGTAATGACCTATTGCTTGTCTTGTAGAGCTTCTCTTCTGTTAATGCCAGCTGCATAAAATTTTTAAAAGCAAGTGGTCAAAGACCCATATATACAAATAAATTGTCTTGTACCTCACTTTGATTATAAATTATATCAGTCGGAAGTTGCATCTTGTCTGACTCTTAGTCCTAATTAATGTTGTCTGATATAAAAATGTCTTGAGGTGATAACAGAAGGAATTGCCTCGGGGTTGCTGAAATATATTCTCAGTTTACCACCTTGTAGTTGGATGTGCAAAATGGATTTTAAAGGATATTCTGCTGCTGACTCATTTGTGTTTTGTTAGAAGTTGTCAATAAGCTAGGTGGAATTCTTAGCATAAGTATTTAGTCTCTTTAAAGTTCATTTAAAACATAGAAATGCAATTTACAAACGTTATTTTTTTGAGGTGGAATAAGGCTTTGGTGATCTGGTCTTGGTCTATATTTAATAACTTTGGAAATTATCGTTCCGTGACACCAAACGCTTTTGATCCTGTCTTCTGCACCTTTGTTCTTGTTAACATCAGAAGCTGTTTCATTTAGGAATTTGCAGTTCCCGATTATCGTTCGTCTCACCTGGAAGTCAGTCAGGCAACCCAGCTCTTGCAGCAGCAGCAGCAACAGCAGCAGCAACTTCGGCGCCGGCCTTCCTTGCTTTCTGAATTTCACCCAGGCTCTGACAGGTGAGAATGCTTTTTTGAAGTGTGTGAACAGGAATCTTGGATGTAAAGTTAGTTTTAACTTTTGAATAGAAAGGGGTTTGAGTTTCACGGTTTTTGCCTAAGTACTTGACTTTATTAATCGGTGCTCCACTGTTGTAGCAGTGTCGGTCTCCTGTGTGTGAGTGTTGTAGCTGCTGTGTGATTCCTCAGTCCCGTGCTTAACCAATACGTTTGTTTCACAGCCAAGGAGTGACAGTCTGCTTTGCTTTTCCCACACCTCTCCTAACAACGCTGTCAGTAAGCTTCTGAGAATCCAAGTGCATATTGCAAACTTTTTAATGCTGCTTAGGCTAAAACTGTGTAAAGTTTGTAACTTTGGGTAATTTAATCTTGCCGAATAGAAGCAACAAGTACAAGAGTTGTTACAGTGTGAATATTACCTGTCATATTTCCTAGATTAAGTTTGCTTATTCAGCAGATGCTATCTGTGTGGCTGGGCAAGTAAGAAACAACAGAGCTAATTGGGTATTTTAGTCGTAAGAATAGTAAAGCACTGAAATGTGGCACAAAATGCCTAGAAGGCACAGAGGACTAAATCAGAGTGTGTGCTACTTTTGGCAAGACACTTGGCAGGTTCATATGATTTGTTCTAAATACCCTTTTTGTCAGTCTCATACACCATTCCTGTCTCTGTGTAAGTAGGTGCAACTGATCTGGGTCCAGTAGGTTAACTGAGGACAAGTACAGTGGACGACTACAGTGAATCATATGTTGTAATTTAGTTTCAGATTGGTAATATCTTACTTCTCAGTAAAATAGGTTACTTCACGGTGGGTATTGATGAATGTTCAAATGTACCTTAATATTGCCGTAAGGTTGATAGGTTTAAAAAGTTTTCAAACCTTATTAAGCATTCGTTCCTGAAGAATATTGGATGTACTTTGAAAACCAAATTTAGAAATTAAAAACCCACTACAGATCAGAATAAGATGAACTGGATTATAGTAAATAAGCAAGAATATGTTTCTGTTTAGGGGAGAGGTTAGTATATGATTTATGCACCTCAATTCTTCAGTGCATTCGTATGCTGATGTACAGTCGTATGCAAGTGTTATTGCTTGTTACAACCTTTTTTTTTTTTTTTTTCTTGGACTCTTAGTAAGTATATCTGCTAAGAGCAACTTTATATGCTGGATTACTGCTGGCAGTTTATTTTGGCTGTAACTGACATATCTGGTTCTGAATAAATACCAGTGATGAATGTTATGTAAATACCGGTCTAGCTTAAAATCTCATTAGGATATTCCCAGAAATAACTTGATGATAGTGAAATCTGGGGCTTGCATATTGCCTTCATCTTGTGTCACCAAAATGTCAGTAAGGCTCTGTTTTAGTGCTGGGAATCATAGTAGCTTCTAGAGTTTTCAAAACTCCAGTTTATAGCAGAAGTAAATCCTTCCCCCCCACATTGTAAATTTGTAAAAGCATGTTTAGTGGTTCTGGCAAAACACAGGAAACTACTGTCATCTCTTCAGTGGCACTTCATAGGAAGATGTTGAAGTGTATGAGGTTATTTTATGGACATCCTGTGCATTGCAGTGCAAAGAAGCTAGTGATACTCTTTGGCATTTTTTTTCTGAGAAGGAGGAGTTTTTAAATGACTCATGGATTGAATCAATGACTGTTTCTGTCATCTAGTAGCATTTTAGTAGAGATCAAGTTCTGAATAGACTCATGGCTCATTTCAAGCATTCTGTGTGTATTTAAAAATTACTTAACTGCAAAAATGAAATAATGGAGCTGTTGTGGCCATCTGTGTTCAGTGGTAGTACTATATTTTGTGGATTTTTTTTTTGTTTGTTTATAATTTGAATCAGAGCTTTGATTTGAACAATATCATTGTAACAGTGGTAAGTTTCTTTAAGGGTTTGTAATGATAGGCATGCATTTAAACACCGTCTTTTAAGATTCAAGTTAACTTTTTCTTTTCAATGGATTTTAACTGTTGTATTTTTGAACATGATACTGAAAAACGTTTGTCTGCCTTACTGTTTAGAAGGAGCTTCACTAAATTGCATCTCCTGTATATTTGAAAATGGTTGAAGACAACCAAATAGTTTTTATATATGGAAAATGTATATTTTAACAGTGTATCTCTTCTGTATATTAGGCCTCAGGAAAGGAGAACTGGATATGAACAGCAATTTAATCCAGGTCCATCTCAGACAGATCATGATTCACTGGAATCTAAGCGACCACGTCTTGAACAAGTCTCTGATTCCCATTTCCAGCGTGTCAGTGCAGCTACTGTCTTGCCTTTAGTACATCCTCTGCAGGAAGGGTTGAGATCTGCAGATATTAAGAAGGTAAAGGCATTTTCTGATACGATGCTGAAAGTGTAACTTCCTACGTTGCGGATGTTGCTAATAAATTTCTTTCTGTTAGGTAATTTTTTTATTTGTTTAGGTTAATTCTTTAATCCCAGGAATTTAATTTTACATATTATCACAAACTGTGGGCGTGAGTCAGTGTCACTCTTCTATAAAAAGAACAAAAAGATAAGTCTGCCTCAAACACAGCAAAGAGACTGGAGTTCTGAGTTGCCACAACACTCTTCAGTCATTAAAATCTCAGTTGCAAAATTATTATAGTACAGTATATGAAATACTTCTGTTTTTCAGTTGACAGCTGCTGGCAAATGCATGCAAGTCCATTTTTTTTTCTGTAATGAATATTTGTACTGAATGGTCAAAGTACTCCCCTCCACCTCCTCTCCCTTTTAAGCATTTTAAATGAATCTGTGTATTTACATAACACTAATTATACTTGTCACTGTCTCATTTTGGGTAAATCTAGGGCAATCTAGTTTGGTGTGGATATTTTCTATTGTAGATACTGAATATTGATTAGAACAATTTGTATAAAGCGGGCAAATGTCTCTTCAATGAATATTTAATATCTTCTCTCATGCACACACACAAGCACACAGACTCACACACCAAAAAGGTGGTGCATAGTGGGTGTGACTTCTGAAGGTGAGCGCTCAAGTTTCTAAACTCAAATAATTTAAAGAAAAATTTCACCATATGGATTCAAAAGCTAATAGGCACCAGATTTTCTAGAAGTTGATGGCTTGTCTTGCCTTCTCTCTGCCATTCCTTTTATCACGTGAATAAACTGTGAAGTAAAGTAAAATTATGATAGCATGTGATATCTTAATAACTTGCTGTGTTGCATAGCAAAGATAAGATCAAAGGGGGTTGGAGAAACCAAGCTAAGGCATGAAATGTTAACATGCTTGCATGTAACTGAATTTTTATGCAGGTACTACATGTAGGAACCTACTGTCTCAGTGTAGAAATACAGCCTGGTATCACCTAGAGGAGAAGTGGCATTTAGACACATCATCTTTCAGTCAGATTGGCTTGAATGAGGGATGTATAACTAAGCTAGCATTTGCCAGCTAGGTAGTTATGGAGCATCATGGTCTGAGGACATAAGCAAAGACAAGGTACAATAGTGCTGATGGTAGAACATAAAGCATATTGAAATATGTTGTTTGGAAACAGACCAAAAAAAAAAAAAAAAGACAAAAAAATCAAAGCCAAATGAATAGTGACCTGTCCTCTCTTAAGTCATGCTAAGTTCAAAAGAACTTAACATTTATAACCACAGCTAGCTCCAGATGTGCTTTATTGGGCTGGTCATGGTTATCTTCAAGATATAGATCAATCATATTGATTGATCAATGCTCATCAATATTTGTACAGAGTATTGAGGATTGGCTCTCAAGTAAAAGATACTGTTTATATTTATGAAGGCCTATTTTTAAAAGGGAGATGTTTTGATCTTTTTATTTCAAGGTAAATATTGCAGTATGCTATTATTTTTTAAAGTGGACTTTGAAATTACAATATCATAAATGGGCTGACAGTTAATTCTAAAATACTTAGAGCATTAATAAACTGAAATATTAAACTTTAACTTAGATAGCTCCTCAACAGAGGTATAGATACCTGGAAATGCTTTTTAATTCATGTATGCTAGTTTGGTTACCAAATGTTCATTCACATATTAGCAGTATGACTGATTTCTCTCAATCTTGCCCCCCCATCCCTATGAAAGGACCCGGCTTTTGGAGGAAAGCATGAGGGACCATCTTCTCCAGTTTCTGGTCAGCCTTGTGGGGAGGACCAAAATGCTTCACCTTCAAAGCTGTCCAAGGAAGAATTGATACAGAGCATGGACCGTGTAGATCGCGAAATTGCGAAAGTTGAACAGCAAATCCTTAAACTGAAGAAAAAACAAGTAAGCATAGCAGATACTACTGTTGTTATCTGCCAGTGAAAAAAGGTGTGGAAAAACTTCTTGTGGTGGCGGTGGTGAATTTTTTGGTTACAGGAATCAAATAAGCAAGTTAAAAAGGGAAGGTTATGTATCTGATTTTGCTAGAAATGTTTAAATAGATTGGATATCATGTAGTTTTAAACATTTTTGGAAATAGGAGAAAGCCACATCGGAACACCATGGCTTTAGATTTTAAACTTTTGTTATATGACTAGTGAAACAAAGGCACTGTGACTGTAATTTCAGCTTTAAAGATGACTGCTGGGTGAGGGGAGGCTATCATCCTTCTTCATTCCTAGTCTGTGCAAGGGGAGAATCCCTTGCAAGCGTCTCCAAAACCAGAGCTTGTACAAAAGTCCCATGATCATCTGGAGCTAAGGTCAGCCTTGGGGGAAAGTGTAGTAGGAGGGGTGCGAGTAAACAGAGAGAACAGAGAAATAAAGGAGGAAGTATCACATTTTTTAGTACAGTCATGGCTAGGCTTTGCATCAGAGAACTGCACTTCAGCCATTGGAAGCAAAGGAAATGTTTGCTGGCAGCAGTTGTTGCCTTCCCAGTAGCTGTTGTGGCCAACTAAACCCACCCTTCAATCTAGGCATCTGTTATTCATTGGCAAAAACAAAGTCCTTGTCTCCTTTTCCTTTTATGACTTTCAAAGATCCAGATAGAAGTAGTGCCAGCTTTAAGTTTTTTTTCATGGGAACTCTGTAGGAAATGAGAGCTATGCTAAAAGGGTTTGTTAACTTCTAGGTCCGGGATAACAAATAGACACCTCTCTGGACTGGTATGTTTTTATGGTCTGGAAGAGTTTAATTACATCTGAATTTTAATGACCTGTAAAGTGACCTTCAGCAGAAAAACAAAAAAGGATGTCACTAAGTACCTGGCTGTGTGTTAATGATGCTTATCTTTTAGTTTGTTCACTTTTCCACAAAATCAGCAAGTACTATGCATATCATCTATGAAGGTTCATTTGTGCGCGTTTGTAGTATGATTTGACTTTAAAAAATTACAAAGTTGCTGTTGCCTGCAATAACCGAGCCTGTTTATTATGGCAGTCAGGAAAAATTTTAGATTTTGAATTCTTATGCAGCAATGTTGCACATTCAAGCCAGTGTTTTAAGACAGGATGGATCCCTAGTGTCAGAAGTTCTTTGTTGTATGTTTGTGGCAGGCATGGATGAAGGATATTTACAATTCAAAAATTAAGAAGTCACTGAATCAGATTTATTTGATGTGAAAGCAAATCACAGCAATGTAGTAGCTTGGAAAACACTACAGGTTTTTTTGTTTGTTTGATATTGTAACAATCTTGGAACTTCAATATATGTGGAGTGGTTTATTTCTGCTGTGAAGTATGTTTAGAATGATGTTCTCTGTAGATCGTTAGAAGGGCTTTTGTACGTTTTTTAAAAAAAAAAAAGACAGTAGTAGTAATGAAAATATCAATAATGGTACTTGAATATCTACAATGTAGAAAGGCAGCTCTGTGGATTACTTCCTTTCTGAGAAAGCAGGTTTGGTGTAACTGTTTTCCAAAGTTAATATTTTTGTTTAAAGCTAAATAGTAATAAATTACAATGTGACAGTGGCTTTGTATGTCAGGCTGAAACAAGTCTGATTCAATGTAGGTGAGTCTTGTAAACAGGTAATATGGTTTACCAATAGTACAAAAAATAATCTTGTTATTGACTCTGTTGGCATTAAAACCATTTCATTCATTCCTCGTCAGTTAAGAAGAGAAATAACAGGCAGTGCTAACTGTTGATCAGATGCATGTTTTATCTCTGGTGACTAATTACTGGTAAGGGTAACATGGTTCGGATGGCTGATTTTCTTTCTTTCGTCTCTTAGCAACAACTTGAAGAAGAAGCTGCTAAGCCTCCAGAGCCAGAGAGGCCTGTCTCCCCTCCTCCAGTGGAACAGAAACACCGCAGTATTGTCCAAATTATTTATGATGAAAATCGGGTAAGCATGCTTTTCAGTTGACTGAGTGTAGCTGTGAATCTGACCCAATGGGCTAAAATCCATTGTGTCTTCATTTACTTCCATCGGGCAGTTTTTGCTTCTGTTTTATTGATTTACCCATCCCTCCTTTTATGGGTCTCATCCCTAGACTCTTGTGTTGAGATGGATAAATATGCATATATAGAGAGGAGCACACACACATATATAGAGAGAGATGTTTGTACGTGTGTGTATGTGTGCAGATAGATATGAAAAAAATGCTTCAGAAATTTATCTTGAATTCTTGTTTCCTTACATAAATACTGACAAGCTTGGCTGAAGACCCAACATTTAAATTAGCTGAAGGGGAAAAACTGCATATGTTGTAAGATTCTATGCCTTCTTCCTAAACTCTTGACTTCTGGCACTTAAGATTTGGATAAATTAACAGATATGAAGTAGTAGTATATAGGTGAATTGTGAGCTTTTGTTGCATAAGTGGTGAGAAAAGAAGAGGAGCTCAGTAATACCGCCAACAGAAGCAAAGTGCTTCCTGTCCTTTTTTCCCCTGGTAGCTTGAGATTAGGGAGTTGGATTTTGAAAGTATGATCTTTTGTGAGAGTGGTATATGTTTGTTTAATTTCCCAATTTTATTTTGTAGTTTAGAGGAACAGGTAATTTCTCTTACAATAGACTATTTTGAAAGTTTGAGATGGTAAAAAGCTGCAACACAATACTAGATTTTATACAGTAGAACTGTGTCCCAAGTGTTCCATGCAGCCTCTTCTCCCCTTCCCCAAGTTGTCTCTGAAATGTCTGTGATGTATTTACTTAATACAGGACATTAGGGCAATTACTATGTTATAGAAACTGATGTAACCAATGTACAGCGCTGTATTTACTTCTGGTTTCAAACCAGTTTTACCGTCTTAAATCTCTTTCACACTATAATGTAATTAAAAAATATTAAAATCACACAAATCACCTTACAAGACTTCCTCAAGCAGAGTTGCGTGTTGGGTAGTAGGCAAAATTATGTGAATATGAAGACAGCAGGCTGCTGTGCAATGCTGTCTTTGCTAACTCCAGTTACAGGTGGGTTTTACAATAGAATTTTGAACTTGCTATTGCATTCCCCATGTTGTGTATGTGCCAGTAGATGGGGAAACCCCTTTTTATGTTGCCTGAGATAGAGTAACGTATCAGTATATAGTCATCTATTAGCTGCTTCTGTCTGTGTAGCTCTTCATATAGTATTCTGTAGACAAGGGGAATTACCAAGCTCAATGCATTTGTGAATCCATTTAGCACTTGGTTTGAGTTCTAACATTAGGAATTACATGTACTGTAGAATGGCAATATTGATGGAGCTTAATACAAATAGGATGTGTCAATACTCACAGTCTCTTATTTGAAAGATTATTAAAGATGTGTTAAGCCATTTGTGTACATAAGCACTTGTTTGATATCTTTCCGTCTACAGTTGTACAAGAGGACAGTCCACTTGGCAGCTTTCATCTTCAAACCATGCAGTTTAGGATAATTACTTCTAATATTCAGCCACTGTTGGCTAAAATTTGGTTAAAGTTAATAGGGCTAGAATTCAGTTTTCAGTGTTTTGAGACCAGAAAAGGGCTTTGGAAGATCGTACTGGCTTGAAATCAATTTGTGAAAGCCAACTGTCTTATCCAGTGCTTCCTTCTTTAGGGTCAGAATTATTTCGGGGGTCTTTGCCCAGTGAGAGGGAAGGAGGACCTTTGGCATGCTTCTCTGTGTGTGTATGTACACATTGGTTCACACACCCAGACTTTGCAATTGGAGAATTTTAGTCTCTTAATTCCTTTTTTCAAAGCTAGCTATACTTTGTTTTACTGGGCATCTTTCTTCCTCTTAATAATTATTTGCAGTATTACTTATTAAGTGTGTGTTCTTTTTGAACTGCAGAGGTCAGTTTCTGCTTTTATGTTCTTATCAGCTTCCAGCCATGGAGATCAGATTAGTAACTGCACAATTCGGGTGCAGGTTTCTTGATTTGCTGAGGTAACATTGCAGAAGTAGGTTAAGAAGGATATAGTATGATCACACAGGGGTTTAGCAGTTAGCATAAATGAAAGAGTTCAGATACGCTTTTGACACTAACTTCAGATGATTTACTTAGACTCTACCAAAAAATCTTACTTGCAGAAAAAAGCAGAAGAAGCTCACAAGATTTTTGAAGGTCTTGGTCCAAAAGTTGAACTGGTAAGTTGTGGATTTGTTCAGGTTTTTTTTAGTTTTGTTCTATTTTCTGTGTTGCCAGTGTGCTTTTATATCTGTAATTCTGCTGTGGTAAACAAATGTGGTTCTGTGTTTATGCATAAAAGAAGTGTGTGTTTAAATACACTGGTGAATTGGGGCTTGAATGAACTCATTGGCCACATAAGTGTAATTTTTTAAAATAGATTTGCATCTATTTGAGAGAACAGTTTGACATAGGAAAAAATTGAAATATTGTTATATACATAAGTATTTATAACGATCTAATTTTAAGTAATGAAATCTGTGCTTTGTGTTGGGAATCTTCTAGTCCCTTCAGATTGTTGCAGCTCAGATTGAGTGCAGTGTTGGCAGAATATTAAGATGTTGTTAAATACATCGCATATACTTCTAGAATTACATGCATTGAAAAGTACTAAGTGTACCTTTCTAATCCAAAATTGTAGCCACTTTACAACCAACCGTCAGACACAAAGGTCTACCATGAAAACATCAAAACGTAAGTGCTTTAATATCTTGTCATTGTGTCATTTTAAGGGGTGTAGACTCAAACATTCGCTCAAATTTTTGATTGCTGTGATTTCCAAATAGGTTGTGTTTAATTTAACCACATGTAGACCAGTGCTGCCAGAAATAAGTTATATGTACTGAAGGCAGAGGGAAACTAACTTTTCATCAACTTAAAGATAAAAATAAATCATAAAACTTATTCTTTAAGCTGGTAACGCTTGTATTTTTCAAAGCCTAAAATACCAGATTTGACCTAGATATGCCTAGTCAACTTTTCCAGAGTGTAGTGTTCAAAGAAGTGTTTCAAAAGTTATCGCTGTCAATAAATGGTAGGAGGAGTAGGAGTCGTCCTGATTTTTTTTTTTTTTTTTTTTTGACTTAACCATGTACTCATTTTCTATCATGGGTTGTGAGCAGAGTTGTTGCATGCTACGTTTACTTGTTACTTAGGGCAAACCAAATTCAGTGATTTGAAGTAAACTTGTCATCTGGAAGAAACATGGATTTTGAGGAAAATGGATTTTTTTCTTTCTTTTTTAATATAGAACTTGTTTCTTAAATTTGTATGAGCTGATGGGGTTTTTTTAGTTCACTGAAGCAAATGTTGTTCATAAATGGAAATAAAGTTTAATAGATTAATTTTTAAATGTGTTTGTTTAAGCTTATTCGTAGTCAAACTTAAAGGTCCATTAAGCTGTGTCTGATTACTTTGAATGTCTCAGTTCTGCAAAGATGATGGTAAACTCATTTCTCTACAGAAAATCATTCATAACATAGAACAAAATCTCTTTTTTTACGTGGCTATGTCAAACCAATATTGATTTCACTCTGTAGCAGTGTTACAAAATAGCAAAATAGTGATCGTTCTGTTGTAACAAAAATAGGCTTATTTTCAAAATACATATTGCTACTAGACTTTGGTGAAAGTAATTGCTGAACTGTAACTGCCATAAAAGTGTGCATTTTCTACAAATAATCTTTGTGGAAATCCCACTCTATTGTAGCTATAAAGACCAAGGCCTTTTCATAGCTTCTCTAGGATGCTAACTGGGAAAAAAATACTTATTTTCTTGTCTCACTTTGGAACTTAAATACTGGTGGTTTTGAGACAAATTCCGCTGCTGTGGCATGATTATCCTGGTTCAAATTTGTTGAAGAACATTGCTGTCTTTGTAAGATTAATTTATTCATTAACCAATTTCTGTACTACCAGTTTTCACAAAAGAAAAAATAACTTGTTGCTTTCAGCTGTGAAGAAATGATAGTGAGTTATGTGCATATTCCTAAGTGCTGTAACTTTTACTACCATTTTATAGTGTTCTGTAAGTACAGAAAAAATCTTACAGATATCTGTCTTTTAAAAACTTCCCTTAAAAAAAGTACTTCTTGCTCCACTCCTTCAAATGTAGCTGTGTAGTAGTTCCAAAATACTTAATTTTTTTTGAGTAATATATAATAAAACTCTTAACTTTAGGAGTGAATTACAAAGATTTTTTTTCCCCCTAAAGGATAATATCTCAGATTTACTCATTTTAACATATTATCCCTCTTGTGGAGAAGGAGAACACCTAGCTTGAAATTGGGAACTTTTGTATGTTAATTATTTATTCCAGCCATCTTCAAGAATCTTCTCTCTGATAAAATACAGTATTAGTTAGACGATTGTGTTATCAGGAATTTTTCCTCTATTTTCTACCCCTGAAAATATTTTTCAGAATAATGATCTGGTATCTAGAGTGCATGTGAGCTTTGTTGAGTAGTTTTGAAGTGCCTGATTCTCATGTAGTTCACTTTTTTTTTCAATTTTGTTTTCCAGAAACCAGGTGATGAGGAAAAAGCTAATACTATTCTTTAAGAGAAGAAACCATGCAAGAAAACAACGGGTAATATTACCGTGTTTTTGTAAAGAGAGCACATGGTTGGTTTTCTGTCTGGATCCTTGACTTGCATCCCCAAATGTGTCACGTAAATCCCATTCCTTAGAAAAATAACATCTTAAGCTAAAATTACGTTGATTTATTGGAAAATAAACTGCAGGTTTATAACTGTGGTTTGTTGATCATTTGACTGAAAACCATCTAAAGTAAAATAAGGAAAAAGCTTCTTTTCTTTCCTTTTCTTAAAGACTATGAATGGAAGAGACCCAGTGAAAAACTTCAACTGTCATGCCTGGCCTCTCTCTGAACTTATTTTCTTGTCTAGTAGCTATAGTATCTGAAATAAAACGGGGCAGATAGCTGATTTTTTTTTTTTTTAAGTCAGACAGCATTTTTAATGAAACTTGTGTATGTTGGATACCAGTATTAATTGACTTAATGCTTTCTCTTGCATGCTGTTGTACCAAGTGGCATACAAAGTCAAAAGGCTGGTTTGGGTGGTATCTGAAAGATTTTTTTTTTTTTTTTTTTTTTTTTTTAAATTAAGAATAGCAGAACATCAGATTGGAAGATTCCACCATGAAAATGTAATGAAGTATTTTTCTTCTTACAGTCCTAGCTTTTTTTATGTAGGAGCAGTTTGAGGACATATTGCAATTATTCCAGCCCCATTCTGTTAATGAAAATTTTAAAATAAAATAAATAATGGAACTGATTTAATTCTTTAGTTTTTAATTAAAAGCCTGGTACCAGAAGATGTGAAGTTTCTGGAAGGCAGTAATAACAGTTGCCAGATACCATTGTGATGTGTAAAGCAAAGTAGTAGTGTGTAATGTTAAAAATCTACATTTTTATATCCACTTCCTCACCTTCTTTCTGCTGAAAATTGTGTATATGTCATCTTCAAAATGGAAAGCCACTAGAGTAGAAAAAATATGGAGCCTACCCGTGTTGTGCATACTGGTCACTTAGTGTATTTGTGTTTAGTTCAAGGATTACTTTTGGCATTTAACAGGAACAGAAAATCTGTCAACGTTATGATCAGCTGATGGAGGCATGGGAGAAAAAAGTTGACAGGATAGAAAATAATCCACGCAGGAAAGCTAAGGAGAGCAAAACAAGAGAGTACTATGAAAAGCAATTTCCAGAAATCCGGAAGCAAAGAGAACAGCAAGAACGATTCCAAAGGTATTACCATAGATTTGAAATATTCCTATAAAACATCTCTTGGGACTTAAGTTTTAAAATTATTTATAATAAAATTGGTTCAGCTTAATGGTTAAGTTTTATGTTCATCACTTTATTCTTTAAAAAGAATATTAGTCTATCATACAGTATAAAGTAAAATGTTCTTTTTTTTGATCACTGTGTTTCATGGCACTGAGCTCAAGTTTCACTTCACATCCTAAGGATCTTAATGACTGTCATTCTTGTATATCCCCCGTCTTACACCTTGCCCTTTCTTGTCCCCCCTGTCAGCTTTGCCAGTAGTGTGAGACATCAGTTTGGTGTCCTCTTGGGCTGCTCTAGTGATGTCCAAATTGTTCCTTTCCTATCCCCATTTTTAGGTCTGCCATCAAACCCCGTATTTTCCAAAAGAAATTGAGGAAAAGGGCTAATTAGCAAAGGCTAGTTAAGTCATGGTGCTCAGTGAGACTATATGAGTTAAGTTATTCAGATGCACAAAGAGGTTTGTGGAGTTGGTCTTAAGATAATTGGAGCGTCAGCTTCACGTGAGCCTGTTCTTTTTGGGCCTACACCCTAATTTATACTTAGTCTTTTTCTGTCACTGGGTGTCTGTTACTCCTTTGTTTCATGATCCCTATATTCATTAGCCTACACACTCAAAAATCATTTGACTTCTTTTAATTAACAATTTGAGTGATCTTCTGTTGTACTTGCCATGTAATTTTATTCCAGACATTTTTGCTTTTTGAAGTATGCAAGCTATGACAATTAAGTCCCTATTGTTTAATTTTAATCTATCAGACATTTGTTAAATGGAAACAGTACAAAGAGTCTTAAATGGAATGAAGTGCAATTCATTTGAGAGTTCACTTTATCTACGGTACTGTAGGTAGTGCTTTAAATTAGAATTGGGTCAAGTTTGATTCAGTTGTGTTCATATCTCTCTATCTAATGTTTGAAATCATTTTAATACACCTTTGAGAGTTCAAGCCCCATAAAGATTTCATCTCATTATCTTTCCTAACCATCTGCCTAAATCCCCTTACTTCATAAAACGTAGGAAAAGCAGATAGTTTGCAATATATCATGAAGTCTGCAAGATCTGGCTTTGTGGAATCAAGAAAAGAGGAAAAGAAAGTAAATGGTTAGAATGGAAACAGATCTATAAGAAGCTTTTACTTGAATGTATCATGTCTCTGTAATTGCAAACTATTTGGGAAGGAGCTGTCTCTTTATATTTGTGTTGTCTAATGTAATGGCATCTTTGTCTATAGCTGTGCTTGTAATACTGTTGCTGTGTAAATACCAAGGGGTTTTGTCAGATTTTGTGCAAATTGGTTAGTTCAGTAAAATCTTTGATCAAATGAAGATGTTTTGTCTCTCTAACTATCAGTGATTTTTATCTCTGAACTGCTTTTTGACCCACGTGCTCTAATATATTATTATGATGTTCTTAAGTGTAAAGATCAGTAGCTGAAAAATTCTTCCAAATCACAGCTCTCCCCATCAATTCAAAAGTTAAAAGTTTTCCTTTGTTGTAATGAGTCTCAGTGCTGTATTAGTAACTTGACCAAATTGATGAAAGGCAAATTTAATGTGCCTTTTTCTTTCAAAAAATAAAACAAAAAGCCTTGTCTTTCACAGTGTATCGGTTGTACTAATTAAGATGATTTCTGTGCCATTGAACATTTCTCATAATCAGCAGAAGCCTGTTAATGTATCTAAAACACCTACTGGCAACAGAATCAGTGGCAATGCTCCTTTTTGATGTTGACTCAAGCATGCTCTTCTTGCTGAGCTTTGCAAATTCACCTGTAAAACTGAGCAGTTGTTTAAAATTGCAGTACGTGAACAGAGGTTGTGCTCTGACGCTGCCTAAGAAAGAACATTCCTAAGTAACTCATTTGGGAGACTGGTAACAGTATTTTAAAGAATTGTGAAGGTTGTCATTGTTGTGTACAAAATCTGAAACTACAGCTATTTTCTACTTTATCCTTGCTACTTCTGTTTTCCCCTAATTCTAGAGTTGGCCAAAGAGGGGCTGGACTTTCAGCAACTATTGCTAGAAGTGAACATGAGATTTCTGAAATCATTGATGGACTTTCTGAGCAGGAGGTGAGGCTATTGTGTGTACTTTGCTATAGAAGCACAGCAAATGACTCAATATCCTACTGGCAGTGAAAGGTTGCTTTCAGAGGGTTTGTTTTTTTGATAAGAGAAACCTTTTGGGGCTGGTTTGAGAGAGTCTGTGTGAACTTTGGCTTGAAACAGGTCTTACAAATACTTTTCTTTTAAGGGTTTTGCTTCCTCATTGCATCTGTCCTACATTTTTCTCATGTGTCTGTGTTCATTGCAGGCTTGCTACAACCTAGTTTTTTTACAGCTCTAACAAACATGTGAAAACTCTTCCTTTCTAAAACCCTGCACCATTTTAGTTTTTCATCATTTGCAACGCTGTTTCCTTTAGCTGACTGTGTAAATTCATTGGGATAGTGACAAATTCTAGAAGAGTTAACAAGTGGACAAAAAGAAGTTTCAAACTAACTGTGAATGCATACTGTGGTGGAGCTTTAGAGAGTTGTGTAATTCAAGAACTGTAAACATTAGTAGCAACTTTTTGTATTCTTTACTTTTTCTTTTATTCTTTGCCTGTAGAATAATGAAAAACAAATGCGTCAGCTCTCTGTCATTCCTCCCATGATGTTTGATGCAGAACAAAGACGAGTGAAGTTTATTAATATGAATGGTCTGATGGAGGATCCCATGAAAGTTTATAAAGACAGACAGTTCATGAATGTCTGGACCGACCATGAGAAAGAGATTTTTAAGGAAAAGTAATGGGCTTTCTTGTCTTTTATTTTTATTACATTGCAAATGACAGTTAAATACCTAACCCCACAGTAAACATCAGTTAAATCAGGACTGCTGCAGCTTTTGTGCAATAATATTTTATAATGTTCTTAGTAGGATGAATGAAATGTTGCGGAAGTTTTAGACTTCTCCACTTCTTTTTTCAACTGGGTAGGCTCACGTATGTTTAGTCCTTAGATAAGAAATTCTCTTAAAAATACTTAGTTCTGTGATAAGACTAAAATAAGAAGAGTAGGTATATGATCTCACTGTATCAGCTGATAGCTAATTTTACGTGCTTAGTTCTAAATTTGCACAATTTGAAAACTGGGCTTTTTAGACTAATTTCAGTTGTGTAAATCAGAGGCTTGCTGATGGAACAGATTGTTTGGAAGACTGCTTTGCTTATTTGATCATGAATTATGTTGTTAAACTTAAATAATTTCTGATTTATAAAAGGTTTGTCCAACATCCCAAGAACTTTGGTCTAATTGCTTCCTACCTGGAACGAAAGGTAAGACCTTTTTTAATGTAAGTAGAGCCTAGGGTGGGATCCCTAACTTTCCAAATGTAAGTCATTTATCACAGCATCGCTTTCTCTTCCTGGAAAAAATTGTAAGTCCAAAAAAAGTTTCTGCTTTGACAGGATTTTATGATTCTTGATCAGTTACATAATCAATGCGTGCAAACATCTAACAAAAGTTAGTGAAATGACACTATTGACAACAAGAAAAGAAAATGGCACCTCGTTTAGTTTCGATCTTATTTTCTCTATGAGGGAGGTAAGCTGCTTTAACTATCTCACTGTTAGGTAAGGACATAATTGGCTCTGCTGAGCCACCGTGCTAACTCTAAGGAATCTTGTAACCAACTTTCAAGTCAATGGGATCCTACTGCTGGCTGAATTACTCCTTAGAACTAATTTTATTCTTTAGAACTGATTTTGCAGAACTGTTACAAGAAGTAATGGAGAATTAGGATTTGTTAAGACAACAAATCTTGAATACATACAGCTATTGTGATAAATAGAAACTTTCAAACTTGCAAATTGTCTAGTATAGATTGTCATGCAGACTTGAAGTAGCTGAGGGGTATTGTAAATACATGAGACTTGCGTTTAACACTATAATTTTATGCATAGTTATATTGTTATATTTGTGTGTGAATTCACTTCCCTGCTGAGCAAACAAATCTAAAAGAGTTTTATTTTAGTCTAGGGGCTGAATAGTTCTAAGTGTTGAGAGAAATTGAATACTAAAAACGTATTTTTTATGACAGCAGTAAAACCTAATTTTATTTTTGCTTTCTCACTTTAGAATGTTCCTGACTGTGTATTATATTATTATTTGACCAAGAAAAATGAAAATTATAAAGCCCTTGTGCGAAGGAATTATGGTAAACGCAGAGGAAGAAACCAGGTATCTTAAATTTATTAATCACTTGGATATTGTTCTTTTATTGTTTCATATTTACAACTGTCTTACTATCCAATATAGCAAGTATATTTTATGTGGGGGCAGGGGAGGAAAAATAATTATTTTTCCTTTACTGTATTTTTTTCCTTTTTAAATATAAGTAATCCTGACCTCAAGGGTGTTCTTGGTTAGTTTATTTTAATTCTGTGGAATATCTTCCTCCTTTGCACATTTGTGACTTTTTTTCTTTTTTTTTTTTTTTTTTTTTTTTAATATGACAATTCATTTTATTTGAGGACCCTGCCACAGACATTGAAGTTGAATCCATCGTTAAATCCTTTGTTGGAGCCAACAGAAATTAGGTTTAGCATATGACTTGCAGTGGAAAATATATAATCACTTCATAATGTCAATGTTTGTCAAAAAGCAGAAATTAATGGTGATCTCTATTTGGTGGTCAGGCTCAAAGTCAAACTGGAATTTAATAGCAAGAAGAAAGAGACCAATTTAATGCATGCAAATAAATTCTGCTGATTTAGGAAGTATTCTTTTGGAAGCTTTGGGGGGAAAAAGAACAGCGTATTATGTACAAAAAGTATACAAATATATACAACTATACAAATGTAAAATACATTTGCCAGTCTGTAAGGGTTAATGTGGATATTGGAAAACAAAAAAAATTAAGAAACTTCAGATATTTTTTTTTTTTTTTTTTTTTTAAAGAAAGCAGGAGGAGTGCTGTGTATTCACTGAACGTGTTCCCTGCTCTTCCCATTCTGATTTCCCCTTGCATCTATCAGGTATTTAGGCAGTACTGAAAATAGAATGAGAGATATGTCAGTAACAAGGTTAGGAAAGCAGGTCATATATGAAATAAAGTACACGAACAGAGTAGCAGACGTAGCAACCAAGCCTGCAGGTATTTTGAGTTTGTATCCCTAAAACTAATTTAAACGGCTGGAAATCAGTATAGATAGAAATACTCAGAGCTTTCTTGGAACTGAAGCTTGATGGGGGTGGGAGGGGAGGGTCCTCTCAAATTCAGGGTTTTAGAAATCTGCAGACCTTAAAATCTGAAGAGTTGTGGGTTATTGGATTTAGTCATATCCCAGCAGCGATACTAAAGAGAAAATTGTTGAGACTTTGAGGTATTGTGACTGCACAAATCTGTACTGAAGTACAAAACAGCAAATTAAGTAAATACTGCACTTCAGGATATGTGAATCCTCTTTTCAAATAATGTTCTCTGAGAGCCCCAGTAAATGTATTTTTTCTATAAAAGAAAATGGCTGCAAGCAGCTTCAGCTGGTAAGTTGATCCTGTTCACTAGAAACAGTAGTTGTGTGCTGTTGTACTTAAACCTTTTAAATTATGGTCTGGTGTTCTAAGAGAAGAGATCATGTCACAGAAGACTGACTTGTCTGTACCCCACAAGTTATGGATTGCTTGGGATAAGGTCATTTTCACTGTGCACAGGGTTTAGTTAGAGCTTCTACTTTGACTAACTGTGAACTGCTGCGATGGGAGAAAATACTGGAAATACCCTGTATTTTGCCAGAACTTCTGTTAGACTTTCTAAGCCTAATAATGCTTTTTAATAGGAAAAGCGTATTATTGTGTGACTAGTGATGGTGAAAGATTCTGGTTAAAGTATGGATGTATGGCAGATTGTCCAAAATGTGGACAATCACTGTGGATGCTAAACACAGATAATGCTGCTGTTTGAAGTGGCTCAGTTTCATATTCCAGTATAAAATGAGATTGGTGTGATCACAGTAAGCATACAGGTGTTGAGCAGTATCTTTGCCATATGCTGTTCTACAGCTGTTCTCAGATAAGAGATGAGGAGATGGAACTGGCTCAAGCTGTAATGCAATGTAACTGTAAGTTTTGAGATATTTAGAAGATCATAACTGTATACTTAAATGTCTTTCAACATTGTTAAACTTCAGAACTTTAGGATATTTGAACTGGTAAAATTCAAAATTTGTATAGATTTCTCCATCCATAAATTGCTTGCTTTCCTTGGATAATGCATATAAACTAGAAAGATGTTAATTACAGCCCTGTACACCAGGGCATAGATTTGTGAACTTAGCTCACTATAAAAGGAAACCCAAGGCGCTCTGCCTGACTTTGTAGCTGCTCCTCTGAATACTGATTTATATGTGAATAACTAAATACGTGAGTTGGAACGCCGAAGCTGCTGTCATCATTCATTCAACTCAAATTACTTGATCTTTGAATTTTAGCAGCATTATAGGTATTAATTGCTAATGGTTGATGCATATTAAGTGCTACAGCAGATCGCTAAACTTTGGGCAACTGCTAGATAGGCTTAATGTGTGCTCTGTGTTGAGGATGCAGGTAAGTGTCAGACTTTATAGATCTGAAGAATGTTGAGGTATACATGCAAACTCGAGGAAATACTCATAAACATTCTAAATGGGAAACTTTACCATTTCTGAAAGTTTTAAATTGTGAAGTATTGTAGTTAGCCTGTTTAGTAATGCTGTAGTAAGGAATTACATGGTACCAACAATCATATTTGTAGTTCTTAATTTTATTAACGATTAATTAGCAACATCAATAAGAGCTAGTAAAAAAGAACTTAAGAGTGTTGAACTGCCTTGCTTGCCAGAATTTTTATCTTACAGTTGCAGAATGCAATTCATCCCCTCTCTCCCTCCCACACCCCAGCTTTGTTTGAAGCTGGTATTTTTCATATCTCTGAGTAGCAACCTGAACCTTCCTTGCCGATTAGCAAACGCAGGTCGTGTCAGATTTATGATGTGCTCCAAGATATGCCTATGCCAATAACAGGTGCTTCAGCTTAAACTCTTGATAGTTCATATATTTTTGTAAATTAGACGGCAAGCAAATGCAATATTGCAGTGGAGAAGATATTAATCATGGTAATGATGTTGAAATCCTTCAGAAAATGTAGTGCGTACCACTTGACTCGAGTTTCAGTGTGGGGGCTTTTATTTTATAGAATCTGAATGCTAGATTAAGGCATGTCGTTAAGAGACATAGGGCCTATTGAATTCTCATACATCTTTTTCCTCAAATAGGTGTAGAAAGGCCTTTTTATAAAATACTACCTAAACCGTTCCAGAATGCTCACGAGGCAGCTAAACAAGTGCGTCTTAAACCAAATGTGACTTATCAAATGAAGAGCAAGTTTTTAACATCGTATTGGAAGGGAGCATGGCTATATGATGCTTTTGCATTGATTATAGAGAATTCTTTAAATAACTCATTGCAAGGAGGTTCTTTCACTGAAATTTGTAGGAAAGCGGTCGTCGGTAAGGGGTGCGTTCCTGTGGTCTGGCTGCCTGGTCAGCAGAAACGCCGGTCTGTGGATCAAGCCGTGTGCCTTTGCAGCAGGTGGTACAGCCCAGTGATCTGACTAGACAGAAATTTGCTCTGTGTCTGTGACGGCCAATCAAGCTGAGCTCGGTGGGGATTACCTTGGGTGACCCCGGTGAGATTAGAAGGTTGTATGTGAGATGGGCAACTCTGCTGTAGGCAGCTTAAGTGGCAGAATGACACAATTTCCTGGAATAAACACGTTGCTGGGTCAGGCAGCCTCTGCTAAAGAGCTGTGTGATGTCGGTGCTGGTGTGGGTTTTGTCCTTTTGAATCGTACCCTGAATTAAAGCCCGTCCCCTTGCCTGGATAGTAAGTTTTAATCAACAGATGAATGTGCAGGTACGTCGCTGACCGAGGCTTCAACTGTTTTAAGGTTTGTGTTTAACCTGCACTTGACCTATTGATTATGCATGTTAAATAAATTCACTGTGAAATAGAGAATCCAGTTATTTACAAAGTGTGATGTTAAGTTGGCCAGGCAAAAAGAACGGAGGATTTTCAGTAACTATTTTGTAAATAGATTGTATGTAAAATACAGTTTGTTATTTTATTATTTTTTTTCCTTCTGAAAATGCAATTTTTTAACTCCTTGCTTTTGAGGCCAATCTATCTAGCATGATGGAAATAATCTTAGTGTGTCTCTGACATCTCGCTTGAAGGAAGTTTTTGCATACCCAAGTAATGCCAGCATCTTAAATGCTAATCATTTGCAGCAAGATGGTAGTGGTTAGTGTTAGGGTTTTCTGCTCCAGTTCACAGTATTAAAATGTCAAAAACAAGTCCTTTTTGTGACTATTTCCAGCCTCAGTTTTGTTAGTGAAACAGTGACACCTGCTGCTACACTTATAGGAAGGTTGGTTCCTCTGTGAAAGAGAAAAGCCTGTTTTGAGGAATTTTTCAGTAAATTTTTCAAACTGTAAAATCTGAATTAATGAAGTCCTAGATCAGCAATCTTGTAGATCTCTGTCCTTGTCTTTCCCCAAATTGCTGAGTGTCCTTTGGGTATTTATTTGAAAGGCAGCTTTATGTAAATATTATGCGTATTTTGCTTTTTAAAGTTGACTTGCAGAGTGTAATGCCCAGTGAGGACCGAGCTGGTTCTGCACACACCAAATTTGAGTAAAGAGCATCTGGGTATTGCAGTTCTTCTGAATCGGAAGGATTGACGGCAGTGGTTGGTTTAACCCATTCAAGCCCCTTCAGTGTAAACTCCTGTGAGTGGTTCCCTCTGGGTGGCCATACCTGACTCCCCACCCTCTCTTACATTCCATAATTTCTTATGAAAACATACTTAAGGCAGAATTTAAACTGTAGTAATACATTTTAAATAAACTTATGTATTTTCAGAGAGGAGGAAGAGAGCTCTTTCTTCCTCCTTCCTCTCCCCTCACCTTTAACTGAAGTCCTGCCTGCTATAACCTCGCCTGCAGCCTCAGGCTTTCTTTTCTTTTTCTTTTTGTATGGTCCCTAGTACGAAAGGCTTGGATTTTTCTGTGGCACTCAGAACATCATCTTATTACAGATACTCTTCAGTGCGAATGGGCAATATGGATTAAGCTCTAGATGCTTGATGCGGGCTGCTGGCTTTTGAGGCCCATCAGGAAAATTAATTAATTTGCAATTTGTTTCATGTTTTCTGCACTTTTCCTTAGTATAATAACGGGTAACAGTAATTACTTTGTCATTTGTCAGTGCTTATGTGCTTGTAAAACTTATCATCTCAAAAAAGACTATAGTTTAAAAAATAAGTAAATAAAAAATTCTAGGCTATAACTTTCCTTCCATAAATTCACTGGAAACATAAGTCTAAAGTTTCTGAGCCAATTTTTTGAGAAATTATATTCTTAATTATTAACAACAGTTTTGAGAAGATGGCTTAGAGTTGGTCATAATGTTCATGCTACAAGATCATCTGCTTCCAAGTTGTGAGCTATCAGGTTTCACTATTTTAAAATGGACAACGTTAAAAATAAAATTTGAGAGGAGCAACACCATTACTACCCAAGGTGTTCATCAGACCTCTCTAAGCGTTTGTAAAATGTAGCTGTTCATTTTTAGTGTGACATACAACAGCGCATGTATTTGCTGACATTATGTACGTTATCACCTCTGTGCTCACTTTGCAAAAGAAGCCTGTACCTCCATGGAATTTATAAGACAAAACACCATGCTGAATGGGGCAGCTGACCAGAAGAAACATAGGAGAAAATAAATTGAGAGCTACTGAGGATATACAGCTAATACATAGAAACCGCACATTCTGTGGCAAAGGGGATTTCTGAAGTCTGGGAGGTGATGCTTGGAACATCACGTTCATTATGATTTTGGGGTGCAGATAGGTGTTACAGTTTTTGGCAGAGGCGTTTTACTGTTATGTTGACTGGTGTGCAGTGATTATAACTTAAAATATTATCAAACGGGAGGTAAGGCAGCATCAGTGTTTCTGTTGCTGTGAGTAAAAGCTGCTGCACCTTTCTGTGATGAAGCTGTTATAAAGTGCAAATCCCATTTCATTTCAGCAACAAATTGCTCGTCCTTCTCAAGAAGAAAAGGTAGAAGAAAAGGTAGAAGAGGAAAAAGCAGAAAAAGCAGAGAAAAAAGAGGAGGAAAAGAAAGATGAGGAGGAAAAGGATGAGAAGGAGGAATCTAAGTAAGTATATGTGCTGAAAATTCATTAATTTACTCTGCGTTTTTTTCAAAATTGGAACAGGATTCATGTTAGCATGACAGTGAAATCTGGACTGAAAAACTGTTTCTATTTACACTAGGGTTTGTGCATTAAATAATTTTTTTGACATACCAATTTCTCTGTTCTGCTGAACTAAACAGACCAATGAAAAAAGCCGTAGGATTATTTTATTGCACATGTAATAGTTTTTATATCTTGTTGATTTGGGAGGTTTTCCATATGTTCTATCACAGTGTTCATATTTTCTTTGAAGTTGATAATATCATGTATCTATGTTATTCTCTAGCAACTCTAAATTGTGGGCAGTAAGTGAATTTTGTTTCACTAAAGGCCTCTTCTGGGTTTGTGGAGTTTTGGTTGGGGGCGAGGTTGGTTGTTTGAGTTGGGTTTTTTGGTTTAGTTTGGGGTTTTTTTTGTTTTTTTTTTACATCCATATTAAGGAATATCTGCCCATAATGGCTGTCTGAATGTGACTGAATTATATTTTAACTATTCCCAGAGAGAATACCAAAGAAAAGGACAAAACTGAAGTTGCACCAGAGGAAACAGAGGAAAGGGAGCAGGCCACTCCTAGGGGCCGAAAAACTGCCAATAGTCAAGGTCGTCGTAAGGGCAGAATCACCAGATCAATGACAAATGAAGCTGCACAAGCAAATGCTGCTGCAGCTGCAGCCACTGAAGAACCACCACCGCCTCTTCCACCCCCACCAGAACCTTGTGAGTAGCGTTTATAGGACACTCGGGGACCCATCTGCTCGTCAGGCTCTTCACTGACATAAGGCTGTTTTCTGTGCATGCAGTGCACTTGTTTTTTCTTTTTTCTTTCTTTTTAGTATTACATCTTTATCCTTTGGCCTGCTTATAATTTTGTGACTCTGTGGTACTGTTACACTTCATGAGTGTAACTTCATGAATAGTCTATGTGTAGTTACATGACTCTGTTAGAAGCCTGTGGAGGAAAAAAAGGCAGTTCAACCTGTCTGTGATAACTACTTTTTCTCTCTTTGCAGGGTTAATGATGGTTCTGTAGAGATCCAAATGCCTTTGACAGAGATTGACTTACAGGCTGTAGCTCACAGAGGTTATTGTTAAATAAGTAGGCCTGATATCTGAGTACTTTAGGGAGTTTCATAACCCGAAATAGATCCTAGCAAGTTGGTTTTGTTTTTGTTGTTCCTGCATTAGATGGCAAGAGATTTCTTTAAAATAAAATGTTACTTTCTTGGCAAGTATGGTTAGAAAAGACTGCACTATCTCTGGCTGTATTTCTGAAAAGGCTGATATAATTTGTGGTGGTGCAGAAATACTAGGAAACAGAATATTTTGTGGCTAGTAAATAATTATGCAGGATGGCGGGGGCAGGTTTTTTTTTTTTCCCTTGCAGTGCTCTGCTGTGGCAAAGTTTGTTCCTAGCTCTTCAACTGGATAGTTACTGCAGCTGCTATTCTAGAATTTGTAACAACTCATTTGTTGCTCAAATATTCTGCATATCCTAAAGAACAGAGTAAATGGGCAAATTAGCTCTTGTTTAACTGTAAACAACAGATTGTGATAGATATTCTTGCTCAGTTGATATGGTGTTCTTTTGTCAGCAGCTAGACTAAGGCAATAGTGGGTTTTGCTTCTGTTTTGTTTTGGGTTTTTTAAACCATTTTTACAGGGTTTTCTGGAAAATCCCAAATAGCTTTTGAGTGGATCAGATACTTCATAGGATCCTACTTTTATTGTTTGTTAATGAAAGTTGTTGAAGGGGTCCATGTTGCATGGCCCATGGAGGCTGTTGCAGCTTAATGCCATTCAGAAATTTAAACAGAATGATACCAAATCCAGAGAAGTGAATGAAAAGTATTTTGCATTGAATCACACTTAATTCCTGCTTGGTTTTACATACTGGTTATTCGTCTTCTTTTATTTTTCTCTGTTTGTCCAGTAGGAAACTCATTGAATAGAAGAATAGTAGATTCTTGATATCCACTAATCAATAAATAACCATTTCAGTCCTTTCTACAGCAGTCAGTGAAATAAGATGGAACTAGCTTATAGCATGTTGAATTGCTGCTTTTAGTAGTTGATGACAGTTAATTGACAGTTATTGACAATTTAAATAAAATTTTAGTGGTAAATACTTCTAAGTTACTTACAAGTCTTTCTTGACAGATAATTAATCACAGTTTTGTAGGCAGAATAGTCTTGAACAGTTCGATCTGTTGAGATTGTGGTGGTTCCTACTGTATCTCTAACTTGGCTTAATGGAGGCTGACTACTTTCCACTGGCAAGAGCAGCTTTCCCAAGTGACTTGAACAAGCCTTAATGTAAGGCTTAGTTGACGGTGGGATGCACGACTGGTGCCATAATAGTGACTCCTGGTCTTTTCTCTGATCAGTGTCTTTGTTTCTCTTTCAGCTTCTGCAGAGCCTGTGGAGACATCCCGCTGGACAGAAGAAGAAATGGAAGTTGCTAAGAAAGGTAAACCTTGTAAAGCTTTTGACTTCTGAATACTTGTATTTACAAAATCATAATAATTTACTGAATTATTGAATATGAGTGCTGTGACTTTTATCCCACACTATGCTGAATGAATAATTTGAAACTTGCTGCTGGTTTGTTTGGTTTTTGTTTGTTTTTTTTTTAAAAAAAAATCAAACAACTTTAACAGACGAAATCAGGTTTTTTGAGACTTGTGGACTTTTTTCATGTGAGCTGCTTAGAACTGTTTGATGATGTACTTGGTCTACAGAAGTCTGTGAAACAGATGTGAAGATGTGTATGTCATGTAAATTTTCAAAGTAACATGTCTATAAGTTTAAAAAAATTCCTTTTGTATAAGGCATTCTTTCCATAGAACAGCTAATGTAGTTTATAACTTGTCTAGTCATTTGAATATACCATTACCTGCAAATTTCATGCATAAAATCAATGTTTTAGCAGAAGTGTTACATATTAGCAACAGCAAAGAGTTAAGTCTGAAGGCTTCATAAACAGACATTCAGATTGACACAGCTTTTTTTGCCCCATAAGTAGTTATCAAATACGTTGTCATAGTGAGAGTTCTTTTAATGACAGCAGTACTTCTGTATCTTACCTTCCCATAGATGTTGTTCCATTTATTTGGGTTTGGATAGCTCAATTATTTATCGTAGTAAGTATCGGTTCTTATTTGTTTAAACAGGCCTAGTGGAACATGGACGAAACTGGGCAGCAATTGCCAAAATGGTTGGGACGAAAAGTGAAGCTCAGTGTAAGAACTTCTACTTCAACTATAAAAGGAGGCACAATTTGGACAGCCTCCTCCAACAGCACAAACAGAAGGTAAGTGCAGTGGGCATTGAATATTTTGCAGGGGAAAGCTTGGCATCTTTCTGAAGTAATTCATCACGCTTCACTAAGACTGTTTTGCAATCACCACTTGTTCCCTTTTATACTTGTTTTTGTGTTGTGACATAAATCTCCTAGAAGAGGCGGCTGATGCTCGCTGACCTGTGATATTAATCACTTCTTGCTTTAAAATGCAATAGAAAATTTTTTGTCAGAACACTCAAGCCTGAAGAATTCCTTAGTGCTCTGAAAACCATGTTTCTTATCAGTACACCAGCAACTATAGAAGTTCAGGTCATTGCTGTACAACAGTTACCTTGAAACACAGTAACTGACCTTACAAAACAGAGCAAGAGAATTGGTAGAAGACCAGGAACGTAAAGTTTTAGGGCATCTAAAGTAGAATCCTGTGTGTTGGAATCCTCTAAACTGCCATGTCATCCTAGTCCTCTCCCG